CTCTTGAATTCTTTGTAGTCTTTAGAAGTTCATTTCTTTGGATCTTGCTCTTTGAAACGGGTTGTTTTGATCCTGCTGTGGATTCAGCAGAGAACAGCAGAAACAACATGCCTTTAGTACGAGCCCTGTCCAAAACACGCCCTGCTTGGTTGTGTGTTTTAGTCCAAACGGGACCATAAACTGCAACAGTAACAACACRGTTTACGAAACAAGACTTAAATCTAACGTCACAAACAGATGTAGGAAGCTGCGATGGAGTTAACTTCTCAAGGACTTGAAAGACGTCAGACTTCTTTTGTAGTTTGAGGAGTGAAATCTTCCAACAAATATCTGTGTTCAGTTTTGCTTCTGAAACTACTTATTAGCTTTGAATTCTCACACAGATGTGATAAACTTTGTCCGAGCTCTACTCCAGTGGATCACAGTCAACACTTAGAGACTTCCTTCATTTTCAAGATGAAGTTGGAGCTTTTGATTTGTGTTTTCTTCACTGACTGGGGCTTCCATCGTGTTGTTGCTAATTTTATGAGCTCAGAAGAACATCCTGACGTTCAGGAGGATGTTCCCCTTCAAACCACCACAGCACAGGGGGAAAGTGTGCCGGACACCAACCGTCCTCGCAGAGACGTACCAGACATGCAGATGGAGACAAACTGGAACGTACCTGATCTAACCAAGGACACGTATGAGGATGCTGACTGGCATCCTTCAACATCGGTCCTGGAAACGCACTCTGACCTGACCCCGGACRGCCCTGTGGTGATACGCAGTGACATCGTTGGCTCTGACGATGAGGGCACCAACCAAACTTTAACCCAAGCGCAGTGCGGCGAGTACAGCAGCCAGCTGACCGCCAACAACCACTGCCGACTGATGGCGAAGCTGCCTCCTGTGGGGACGACGGAAAAACGATGCCCGGACATGTTCCGCTGCACGGACGACGTCTCCTTTTGGATTCACGAGAACCAGAACAGGAAGGAGCAGCTGAAGGAGCTGAAGGAGACGATGTCGGAGCTGCAGGAGGAGCTGAGGAACCATCGGCATCGAGTCAAGGCCCTGGAGATGCAGGTAGGCTGAAATTGATAACTTTACCACTCATTCACCTGCTCTCAAACTGTCCATCTTACCAAGTATTAAAATCTTATATCAGCCAAAAAGTCTTTTTTAACTTGTTTTAAGACTGATTTACTAAACAAGAACTGATTGTGTAAGAATAATCATCTTGTTTTCAGAATGTGTGAGATTATTTGTCTTGTTAGTCTGAAAATTTGACTCAAATTAAGTCAAAAATTAGCAGAAAAAAATTGCAGAAAATTACAAAAAAGCAACAACTTGTTGTAAAATAGCTAAAACAGCCAAAATGTAGCTGGAAATTCCTTCATTAGCATACAAGTTTGCTGAAGAAAGAAGCTGAAATGGCCACCAAAATGTAAAATTAGCTTAAAAAAATCTAACATTAGCTAATAACAGCTGAATATTAGCTAAAATTGCAGTACATACAAGAATATTAAAGCAACTGTAAGAAGCATAAACAGCTCAAATTAGCAGAAATTAGGAAATTAAAAAATAAGAAAATAGCAGAAGAATAGCAGAAAGAAGCATATATATAGCTGAAATAGCAGAAAAAGCTAAAACTAACAAATAAGTAGCTAAAGTTAGAACAAGGAAATTAAAAAGAGCAGAACCAGAACAAATGGTGTAAGATGCTGTTAAGTTTTAGAAACATTTAGAAGAATTTTAAGTATACCAAAAACACTTTCATTCATTTTCAATTGGAAAAATGTGGCCGAAAAAAGTGAAATAGTTACAGTATAAATAGCTGAAATACCAACAATCATGGCCAGAATGTCCTGAAGGAGCTGAACGTATCTGAACTGTCAAAATAGGACAAAAATTGTGGAACAAGATACGTACCAAAAAATGTACGGAATAAAAATGATCTCAATAGTGGTAGTGTGAATATTTGTGAAGCATTCACACAAAAATGTGAATCATTCTCAGTGAAAAGATATTATTCATGCTTATAAAACACAAAGGTCATTCTTCCGCTGTATCTCTTTGTTTGTCAGCGCCTTTGTTTATCTCTCTGTCTAACTTTATCTCCCTGTATTGACACCCTTTAAGTCCTCCTTAACCCTGAATTGTAACAGGATTAGCTGAAGACCTTTTGGACAGAGTACTTAAATCCCTCTGAGTCTGCCTGACAGATAGACGATACTTCCGGCTGCAGGAAACACGAGCTACGTCTTGTCTAAATTAAGACTGCAACTCTACAGCTCACTTTTGAACTAGTTTAAACACACGAAGGTTGAAAAAAAGACTAAACTTGCCCTTGAGACCTACTGTTCAGGGCTCGTAGATGGTGTCATTCACTGTTGTTTGCTAAAGTAGGTGTAAAACTTATTTTTCCCAAATTTTTTCTACGTCCATCACAAAAGGTGTCTTTAATGTTTTTAAAATGAGTTGCCAAATTATTTTTGGATAACTATTTATGATTTTAGAGCTATATAAACATTTGTAAGTCACTTGAAACGTCGCGGACCATTTCAGTATCAGGAAGTTCCTCCGCATCTGTTATTGTGCAAGTTTTGGTTCCGTGCCCCTCCCTTTGGTATCTTTGAAAAGATAAAGCTCTCACGAATTCAGGGATATATCTTGACACTGTGTTACTCTTTGGTGACTTGAAGTTTGTGCGTAACAGAGAGTATAAATAACAGCCCTCATGCGTAAAACGTTGAGGCGGAGTTAGGTTCCATTCAGTGATTTCATGGTGTGCACAATGGTAGATTTTGATAATGCACAGTGTAAATGTAAAAAAAGGAAAGGTTATGTCATATGCAGAATGAGGCCTACAATAGAAATCAACACTTTTATTAGACCAGATTCTTTTATATAAAGTAAAAAAAAAAACATTTGGCACAGTTTTGGGTACATTTGGTAAATTGTGCCAAAATGCCATTTCCGCCTGACACACTGCTCACTAAAACCTTTGTGAAATGAATATACTTCAACTTATTCGGTCCTACTTTGCTACAATTTTTCTCAAGATGTAG